TTAGCTATACTAATCCTAGCTAATCCGACTCACGACCCCTTCATTCATTACAATTTTCTCATTCACCACATGAACGTATCCATCACCTCTCAATCCTGCATATACCATAATACCACATATTCACAAGGGACCTACAAAATGCCCCATGGAATAAAAAATTGAAAGTCCGTAATGCCCTTTTTCTCAAAAATATATATATACTAGCAGCATGGCCCGGCGTTGCCCGTGCTTGATTCAAAAATCGTACGACTCATACAGCAATCGCTATCACTTGACTTAAAATATTTTTGCCCTTCCTTGCCTTTAAAGGAATGCCCTTTGCCGGGCTGATGTTGCTACTTCTTGCCTATCTCACACTGCGAATTTTTTTCTAAGCTATACTAAACATTAAATCTGTTACGAAAAAAGAACTAAACAAAATGAACACAAAACGATCAGCTTTGAAAAAGGACTCGTAACTGGAAAAACCGAATGAAAAAATAATGTTAACAACAAATACTTTTTCACAATCAACCCAGTTCTGCGGAATCAGAATCAACGTTGAGTTTAAGCAAGCGAATGAGCCAATTGGAGTAAGTGCCATGCAGATTTAAATTTTCCCACTTGTGACGAATGCAGCTATCGTTTTTTTTTTTTTTTTTTTTGCATCCTAGTTAATATTTGTGTCAGTCAGCTGTTGGCTCTCACGTTGGCCAATAGAATCTTCCTGCCTATTCGTGGCAGCCAGCTATAGGCTCTCACTCTGGCCAGTAGAAAATGGCCACAAACTACATGAAAACTTCTGTAGAAGCATGAAAAAATCGATTATTTCCACTATCGATGGGAGTTGGGAAATGCAAAGTCGGTCTTGGCATTCCCGCTAACTTGGAGCATGTGCATGTAAATTTTGGTGCAAATCCGTCGAAAATTGCGGCCGTGCATTCGTTACACACACACATCCTGCCTTTTATAGATAGAGATTTCATGATTCATGAAATTATGGAGAGTGGATGAATCCAAACTAAAAATGTAACACAAAGATAAAACTAAAAGAAAACAAATGTTAGGAAGACGCTCCGCTCCTGAAAACAATAATAGTGGCCGCTGTATTCTGCCGATAGTCAGAATCAAGAAAAAGAATCACTAATGAAATAGGAATGATGGTAATAAGTAAGGGAATGAGAAAATCAAAGGCTAGCCCACCTAGATGGAAACAGGGGACAAAAACAAACGGGGCAGTTTGGACATCTCTGCATGGATCATACCAACACTGCCGGGAACAGTCCGGAAACAACATTTATGCACATTTAACTAGGAAAACATAATAGTCTAAATTAACTCGGGGATGGTTCACAGGAAACCGCCCCGTTGCACTTAAGGGAACTTAAAGAGAAAGTCAATGCTCGCCCCGTCCACACGAACTAGGCTCGCCTCAGTTACCCACCTTTCGCTGAAATCCGTCGAAATCAAACGCTTTCTGTCAAATCTGGTTTACCCTAAGCTGATACCTAAAGAAAATAACCAGATCCTGATGCGAATAACGTTTTGCATGATTCTCCCCTGCCGATACATCTACACCAACATTCTTGCCACGGCTAGCAACGTAAAAAAACACCATCCGTTTTACCCCGCAGAACGAGAGCGACACATTGTCACACGCGTACGCGAGATCGATGGACACGAGCTGATCGGGAGTGATACGAGCCATCAACTTGCAGACAAAATCCCAGAAAGGGCGCACTTGATGACAATGTTAGAAAGCGTTCGAAGCCATTTCTTCTTAACCAAGGTCACACCGATAACAGTTTGCCTAGCTCCATCTGAAGGTTACGTCATTGAGAAGTGGGGCGTTCCAAATCAATCGCCAGCTAACCGAAAACTCAGATAATCCGCCGCTGGTGCCCAAGACTATAAAGAGCTCAACACTGATGCCGACAAGCTTAACTGCCCGTACAGAGGATCCTTCGTGAACCCCTCCTCTAGTTAATAATACAATAGCCTCTAAGGCCGAGAAAGGTCACTGGAAAAAGGAATGACCTTTTATAGATAGAGATTTCATGATGGTGCTTAACGAAATAAATCGGAGGAGTGATGGTAAGGCGTCCCTAAAACCTAGCTCCAAAATCGACTCCTCCGTCAAAACGCGTCGTAGGAAAGTGTTGTGGTAGGATCCACCTAATTTGCATAGTGGAGTACCGACCATATAAATATGGTTGGTACCAGGAAGACGAGAGAGGAATCAAGAGATTCAATCCAGAGACTCTGCCCGACTGCGACTAAGTCTACACATTCTCCAGGAACGGTCTTCCCAAGAATATGCAAAAGACTATATGTAAATATTGTGTACCCTTTCTTGTTTCAATACATTTTGTTCTAAGTACATTTTGTGTTGTATTATTATTCCATGCATTATTCAAGTTTCAACAGAAAGCCAACCTCCACCCCACAAGGTGGTGGTCAACACACGCTTGATCGCCTCCATACGTATCCTGCAAAGAGGAAGTACAGCCAAGAGGTAAAGGATGAGAGGCAAGACGTAAGTGGTACACGCCTCAGCACTACACTTCAAGGAAAACCTCCTTCGGAGCCAAGTCTGGAACGACGCTCCAACCTTTGTCTGTAATTCTGACCACTTATTCTTTAGCTGAAGTCCGGGCCCGAACCACACTCCAAGAATTGGAACGGGTCCATCAGTCTAATCAAAGGCCCCCTAACCGCAAGCCAGAAGACTTGTTGCGGTTAATCTTAGTCCCCCGTCACCTTCTCGTAGGGTTCAAGCGTCTTTTGTACTAACTTAATGTTGCTGCGAGACGACACTAAAATGGATACGTTATCGGCGTACGCAGAAAAACTGCTCGAGTCCCACCAAGGAGAGCGAGCCGGATTGTATTCCCTGTTTCTCAGCCGGCGTAGGAGGGGCTCCAACGCCACAAGGCGTAGCGATGAGCCGTACGCCCTTCAGCACTGAACTACGGTTTTCGATATTATTGTATTATTAATTCTTGTACCTCATGTGATTAAACGTTGTCTTCACTAATCTTTTGTTACAGTGTTTTCCTTACAACGTTATTAAACAGGAGCATTGAAGCACATCTGATGAAGGCCGGTGGACACAATAACCGAAACATTGTGATAACAACGAAAAGGACGAGGATAATATTGCGAATATAAATAGTGTAGATAATAACACAAGTCAGAAATTCAAACAGAAGCCATTTAAGAACTTCAGCCAACGTATCTGGCCAACATCTGTACTTACTTTTTTTCTTCTTTTCTTGAATACAAGAAAAAAAATGTTCATCTTGAACTCCGTTTTCAGCGTCCAGCTGGCAAATATGTTAAAAAAAATCAAATAATTAAATTACGCTGAAAGTCTTTCTTGGTGTATATATATATATATATATATATATATATATATATATATATATTAAGCAGAAACACACTAATTGGCACTCGTGACTGTTTAGAATAATTTTTCCAAGCTTCCAGGAGAGAGGCAAATTGAATAATGCACCGATGGAATATAGCTAAACCCCCGACGGTCTAGATTAATTACTGGAAAGAGCTGATGGCATTTAACCATTAATGGCCACCATTATCCGCTATTAATTGTAAATAAATAACAAAATCTGCTAATAGAAATCAGGTGTCAATTATACGTTTATAAAAAAAAAATCCGATATTTTTTTTTTATTCATAAAAGACCTGAATGAATTATGCATTTAATTACATGTGCGTTTAACGTATCATTGACCATGACGAAAATTTGGATTAGTTTTTTCAAGATCTACCTACAAAGAACCGGAAACTGTGGAAAGCCATGAGAGCCAGGGTATTGTAAGGACATGCCATATAAAGTAGCAATTAAATTTCTTCATTGAAAAAAAAAATAACTAGAAATAAATATTTCTTGCATTTGGACTATAGACTTTATTGTTGTTGTTGCTGTTATCTCAACGTTTCGGCCGTCGTGCTCTCTGGCCTTCATCATTTGGTTAATCTGACAAGGAATTCTAAACTGCACCTAAAATAAAAATAAATATTTTAGTACAGTATGCATCAAGTAAGAATGAAACTGAAGATTGTTTATGTTATGTAGTGGTTGCACCTGTGGAGGTTTGTATTTGTACTAAGTCGGTCCTAAAATAGGTTCGACGTACAAAACGTTACGAACTTGAGGTGATGATGCAGGGTAAATCTAGTTGCGATCGCTGAAACTTTAGTATACGACTAACGGTCGTCCGGCATCGACTGACTGACCGAACCACTGAGCGACTCCTACTACTCCTACTTATTATAGGTGGGGGAGTCTGTTAACAATAGAATAGGTGTGTTCCACTATAACAGTTTAACCGCCTTGAAATTCTTCCTTTAATGAATACTTTTCTCTATACCAGCGCCGTTTAATTATTCTATTATTTAAACTATTTTTTGATACAAAATAAAAGAAAATCATCTGCGTGTGCTTTTGAAAGGAATGGACTTAAGACTCGTTTACTCACATTTTAATTAATTTCTTTGCTTCTTTTTTTATCTACGCTTTCAATTTCCCCATTTTACGATTAATTACTGTTTCTATTTTCTGTTAAATAGAGATTACTCCAGAAACATGAGAATCAATGACATTATTATTTACGACTGTATAAACATCTCTGGCGTAACTGACTCCTCGAAAGAAGACGATGTGCTAACTTTTCTTGTTCACTTTATTTCCTGCTTCACACTGAAAAAGTTACGCTTCCAGCCCGTTATAATAATGACCTAGTTTTGACTTGTGAAACTCATTTCACGGGGAGCAACGAGAATTTGTTTCTGTGATTCTTTGTACGACGACATATTACTTCCGGTTCCTGTTCGACTCGTCACAGAAATTATCAATCCCAAAAAGCAATTATTTGTATTCCGTTGACTACTTTTTTTTATATATATACAATGTAACATTCTTCAAATTCTGGAAATTGAAGGTAAACCAAGTGTAATGTCATGAGGCATAGAGATGAAAGTGTTATGCATAAGGGTGGTCATAGATAGATAGATAGATAGATAGATAGATAGATAGATAGATAGATAGATAGATCAAGAACACACTGGAATAGATAGATAGATAGATAGATAGATAGATAGATAGATAGATAGATCAATAACACAAGAATAGATGAATAGATAGATAGATAGATAGATAGATAGATAGATAGATAGATCAAGAACACAGTGGACAAGATAGATAGATAGATAGATAGATAGATAGATAGATAGATAAGATAGAATGGATAGATAGATAGATAGATAGATAGATAGATAGATAGATAGATAGATAGATAGATAGATAGATCAAGAACACACTGGACTAGATAGATAGATAGATAGATAGATAGATAGATAGATAGATAGATCAAGAACACGCTGGACTAGATAGATAGATAGATAGATAGATAGATAGATAGATAGATAGATAGATAGATCAAGAACACACTGGACTAGATAGATAGATAGATAGATAGATAGATATAGATAGATAGATAGATAGATAGGCACTGTGGATAAAAAGCGCTGGTTAGAGCCAGTGAATCGACCCAGAGAGTTGTGAGTTCAATACCAAGCAACAGCTGAGGTGAACAAAAACTTGGAGAGTCGATTTAAAGGAAGATAACCGATATAGAGATATCCGAAAGAGGCACGGTACGTAGAACTAGAACAACATACCCTCGGTGGACGAAATAAAGTGTTCTGTTTGATATTCCAATCACCTGGAGAAGGCTGAAGTGTACAAAAGCCGAAACGTCGGGAATATGGCAACCAAGTTGAGGACAACTGTCCATACAGTGTAAATAGTAGAAAACTCTATCCTGCACTTTCGTTCACACACTAAGCCGTCAAAATAAGTGACTTTGATGGATTCTACTGCTGTATTTCTATCGTCCTTCTCCACTGTAAAATTCATAAATAAAGGCATAGAGGGCATCGCGTTGAAAGGTTTTCTTCAAATAATTTCAGAGATGTTCCCCCGGCCTTCGTCATGTACTTGCCGAACGCGGTAATATCAAGGAACTTAGAAGTGAACCCTTTATTTAATCTATGTTTTTTTTCTCGTTTAACAACCATATCTAAAGATGTCAGGTTTAATTCTTATGTTGTGACGCTCAGCTATTGAGCCTCTCTTTCAACTAGTCGCAATATATGTCGTCCTGCCCAGGGATTGAACTCACAATTGCTATGTCAAGAAATTACCGAATCGACGCTTTGATCCACTTGGCAAAATAATGACAATACTCAGTATGTAAATAATGCAGCTGATGATGAATTCTAATCCAAGAATTTAAGACAGAAGTTTTAACAGAACTTTCAATTGAACAGACTCCGAAAGAAAAAAAAAAGAAAGATGCAGGTTGTGATGGATAAACTGTCGCCTAGATATATAAAAAAAATTAAATTAACACTTAAAAGAAATATTTAGCAAAATTGCACAAACATATCTTGAAATACTAAAAAGTAAATTTCTTCAATAAAATCAACATTGGCTTCTACCACGGCCTCTAGACGACTCCTGAATCTCCTGCAACTCTTTTGGGGGTCTCCTTGTTTAAGTTGGTGAATGCTGCCATAATCCTTGTCTTCAGTTCATCATCAGGAGTTTTGTCGGTCTCTCCCTCATCTGCGCCCCACACATAATAATCAACGGGGTTGCTGACTGGGAAGTCAGGTGGCCAGATACTAAGGGGTATTGTAGTTGCAGAAATTATATGACAGCCATGACTGGGTTCTCCTGTTTGTGTGGCCTGGTGCAGAGTCCTTTTGGCAGACATGGGGCCTTCCAACAGCCACTCTCTTGACCCAGGTTAGCACTACCTCATCAAAGCTCTTGATGTGGGCCTCCGTTTTAATTTTGAATATCTATGGGAAGAGGAATGGAGGCATAACGTCGCCATCACTAGGGATCACTCCAAACACCATGATGTTGACTGGATATATCAACCATCTCTTTCCGAATCCTCTGCACAGTCCTCAGATGGACACGCAAACACTCTGAAATGTTCGTATTGGAGCTTCCGTCGCGAATGCCAAGAAGTACATAGTAGTTTCCATATTTCCGGCCGAGTGTATTCCGTCATGGTGCTTTTTTTTCACACACGGTTCCCAAGTGACCGTGCTATACTTTGCAGTCGACAGAATTAAAAACGAACAACGCGCATGCGTGAAATTAAAATTAATATGGCGAGAATTTGCCCATCGCAGACTGTATTACTTATGGAGATTCTGAAAAATATTTGTTAAAGATTTGTCTTCATTACATCTTACTGAAAGTGTTCCGTGTAAGAATCGGACAGAACTTTAGGTAAAAATATTTGTTCTGCTCCTTTAAAAATATTACGGACAGTGACTATAAAACGGAGAGGTTCACTGTTCATTACATGAACATGTTTAGATACCCGAATCGAGTCGAGCCGTTTCAGCTTGACGGTCGAACTCTTTGACTCTGAGCAGAGAGAAACCCAGACGAGGCTCCGCCGAAGAGCAGAGTCTCGTTCAGGGAGGTTGACCAACCCGATCCCGTTTATACGGGTTCTACGGGCATTTTTTGGCCGAGCCTACGGGCTCGGGAAACCCACGTAAAACTCGGCCTTGTGCCACATGCAACCCTCGTGTGTGTGTGTGGGGGGGGGCTAGATACCGAATCGAGCCGAGCTTCTCGGCTTGACGGTCGAACTCTTTGACTCTGAGCAGAGAGAAACCCGGACGAGGCTCCGCCGAAGGGCAGAGTCTCGTTCGGGGAGGTTGACCAACCCGATCCTGTTTATACGGGTTCTACGGGCATTTTTGGCCGAGCCTACAGGCTCAGGAAACCCACGTAAAACTCGGCCTTGTGCCACATGCAACCCTCGTGGGGGTGGCTAGATACCGAATCGAGCCGTGCTTCTCGGCTTGACGGTCGAACTCTTTGACTCTGAGCAGAGAGAAACCCGGACGAGGCATCGCCGAAGGGCACAGTCTCATTTGGGGAGGTTGGCCAACCCGATTCTGTTTTTACAGTTTCTACGGCCATTTTTTGGCCGAGACTACTGTCTTGGAAAACCCACGTAAAACTCGGCCTTGTGCCACATCTTTCCCTCGTGGAGTGGGGGCAAGTAAATATCGAATACTTCCGCGTGGTGAAATGGTTATCAAGTTTGTTCCATTGTATCAAATACAACGAATAGCGAGTTCGATCCTCACTGCGTGTTCTATAATTTAGGCCTTGTGTCGCTTCAAAGCTAAGCTTAGAAAACCATTTTGGCCTTTCAACGTAGTGCACTGCTTAACAAGCTTGTCTCGCTAGATCAATGACGACTGAATGGGAAATTTGATTCTCACTAGGTGTCCCATAATTTAGGCCTTGTGTCGTATCAAAGCTAAGCTTGGAAAACCATTCGGGCCTTTCAACGTAGTGCACTGGTTAACAAGCTTGTCTCACTAGATCCATTACGACTGAATGGTGAATTCGTTCCCCACGGGGTGTCCCATAATTTCGCTTAAAAAATTAAGGAACACTCGACGTGGTGTGATGGTTAAGCGAGCTTGTCTCACTGAATCAATAAAGACTGAATGGCAAGTTTGATCCTCACTGGGTGTCCCATAATTTCGGACTTGTGTCGCATCAAAATTAAGCTTAGAAAAGCTTTTGGGCATTTCAACGTAGTGCACGGGTTAACAAGCTCGTCTCGCTAGACCAATTACAACTGAATGACGAATTCGTTCCTCACTTGGTGGTCTCATAATTTTGGCCTTGTGTTGTATCAAAACTAAGCTTAAAAAAAAAATTCGATCCTCACTAGGTGACCCATAATTGCGACCTTGTGTCGTATCAAAGCTAAGCTTAGAAAACCATTCGATCCTCACTGTATGTCCCATAATTTCGTCCTTGTGTTGTATCAAAGAAAAGCTTAGAAAACCATTCGATCCTCACTGGGTGTCCCATAATTGCGACCTTGTGTCGTATCAAAGCTAAGTTTAGAAAACCATTCGATCCTCACTGTATGTCCCATAATTTCGTCCTTGCTTAGTATCAAAGCTAAGCTTAGAAAAACATTCGATCCTCACTGGTTGTCCCATAATTTCGTCCTTGCTTTGTATCAAAGCTAAGCTTAGAAAACCATTCTATCCTCACTGGGTGTCCCATAATTTCGTCCTTGCTTTGTATCAAAGCTAAGCTTAGAAAACCATTCGATCCTCACTGGGTGTCCCATAATTGTGGCCTTGTATTGTATCAAAGCTAAGCTTAGAAAACCATTTGATCCTCAGTGGGTGACCCATATTTGCGACCTTGTGTCGTAACAAAGCTAAGCTTAGAAAACCATTTGATCCTCAGTCAAGAGGGTTCCGTCTACACGCCTGGTGCTGTTTCCAGCATCCCATGTCACATGTGCAACAGATTTTTCAGGGCGAAGATCTGACTCATTAGGCACCACTGTCCCCTACACTTACCCACCAATGATTCCAAGATCGTGTCGTCTTCAAATCCGGAAAACACAGTAGAAGTGGTGATTCGTGGGCAAGATAGCCTGACAGTGACCAAGCATCTCCACGTCGATTTTGAATTCAGAGTTTTTCCTTCCCCTAGGTGGAAACTGGTCTAGGAGAAGGAAAAATAGAACTCAGTCAATCCTGCTATTTACTCATAACAGGAGAAGAAGAGGATTTATATATTATATATATATATATATATATATATATATATATATATATATATATATATATGAATAAAAAACAGACCACGTTAAATATTCCCATGTAATAAAGCTATTTCACATAACCCCTTTAACAGGGTTCTGGATCATCAAACTTTACTTCCAAAAGCTGAAATAAAAAATTTCACTTTAGCTTTTTGGAAGTAAAGTCTAATGATCTAGAACCCTGTTAAAGGGGTTATGGTGAAATAGCTATTACATGGAATCTTAACGTGGTCTGTCTTTTATTCAAACATATCTACTCTGAATTTTACATTGAGCTCTCTGGATATCATCCTCCTCAGGTCTACCCATACGGATTACCTAAGTTTGCATAAACTATATATATATATATATATATATATATATAGTACGTAATGATTCCGACTGGGATTCGAACTCGGCAGGATTCCTCACTCTGAGCCGCCATCCATTACTACACCGTGCCTCATTCATTATACGTTAGATCAAATTCAGGGAGTTTAACATCAAGACGGTTAAGAAAATATCTCTTGCGTCTCTCTTACCATTGAGGAACGCTTTCCAGCAGGATGGACGAACGAGGGCGAAGTTTTCCCCGACATTTTGCATAATGTCGGCCTTCTCCATTGTGTTCTTGATGCAGATTTTATCCATCAATTTCGGTTTGTTCGGGTGGCATGACGAATGAGTTTTTATTATTATTATTATTATCATTATTATTATTATTATTATTATTATTTGAAGCGAACACGAGGACGATTTGAAAGCTTTTCGTCAAAGACTTTTTTTTTTAACGGAATCCGAGAGAAAGTGGAATAGATCAGTCAACTGGACGTATAGAAACATCAATCCAGTTTTTGTCCTCATGAAAACATTATTTAAAATAAATCCGTCGAAAAATCGGCCGGATATTTGCTTTCAACCTCTTAACTTGGAAAGTAAATACTAATTATTTACTATTTATCGAAATCACTGAATTTGTCAGATATTATCAAAATAGTCTAGACGCCGAGAAAAGTCTGTTACCATGGGAATATGGCGGAGATTATTTCGATGGCGGATTAAAGTTTACCTTTCGCAGATCTGTTATTAACTACGCTCTTCTGAAAATAATTAGGTTACACACACACACACGCACACACACACACACACACACACATATATATATATATATATGTTATAATTTTTACATACGGACAAAAACTTACTCACTACAAAGATGCATTGTCGTTTCGAAGCGTCTGCATCTTGACTGGTGAGACCCCCACCAAAATCTGACCAGTCGAGATGCAGACACATCGAAACAAGAATACATCTTTGCAGTGAGTAAGTTGTTTTGTGCGTATGTAAAAAATTATAATAAATAATTATTTCTCTACTCTTGGTACTGGGTACTGAGCCTCCTTTTGAATTAATGCTGCGACCTTAAGAATTTATATTATTTTCGTTCTCATCACATTCGGATATATATATATATATATATATATATATATATATATATATATATATATATATATATATATAAAGCAAATATATGGATATAGATCTGACAGTATGAAGAAAATATATACGGAAAAAACAATTTCAGTTATCTGTTTGAATAAGTCTTGTTCTTATGTACATCGTCTTTGTCATGTTGAATTGATAATGTTAATTATATTTTATGAATATGCCCTGAAGATGGTTTATTAGACCGAAACGTCCGACGTTGACATATTAACATTAAAACAGCATGATTGCATATAAGGATTTTTGTTTGTTTTTTCCGTATATATTTTTCTTCATATATATATATATGTATGTATGTATGTATGTACGTATATATATTCATTTGTTTCGCTTAAAAATCATTTTAGTTTCGAGTAAATGATCTACTAAATTAATTACACAATAATTTTATCTAATTACATTTATATACCTGAATATATATATAGATATATACATATATTCACTCGATATATATATATATATATATATATATATATATATATATAGCGAGCTACCCATAGGCAAGCGTTTGCTTGGCAGAAACGTTACAAGGACACACTGAAGGAGTCTCTGAAGCATTGTGGCATTCCCCATTTCACCTGGGAATATAGATGAGGTGCGTGCCTTCAGGTGCTCACTTGTAAGGTACGGATTGTCTGATTTCGAAGAGAAAAGAGTCAGGGAGAAAAAAAGAGAGACCCTAAAAAAATAAAAGATCAAGAGGGTTCCGTCTACAGGCCTTGTTCTGCCTTCAGCATCCCGTGTCACATGTGCATCAGATTTTTCAGGGCGAAGATCTGACTCATTAGGCATCACCAACCCCCACGCTTAACCCCCCCACCACCACCACCACTGATTCCCAGACTAGGTCGTCTTCGAATCCGGAAAACGAACGAATGATATATATATATATATATATAGATCGCCAGTGAGCAAACACAAGCGATTCCATTATTAATAAAGGGGATCACGTGACCATAGAAGAAATGCATATAGAGGAAGTCGCGTGACGTCTAAATGATCACTATTTCTATTCTATCCTCTATTACTATTCGGATCACCATTTTTAATCTATCCTCTATTACTATACGGACCACTATTCTCTATAATACTCACTATACTATTTCCCTATTCTGATCACTATACAGAGTACTGTTCGAGCGAGTATTATCGAGTAAGCAATAATAAATAAGAAATAGAATCCATTGCCTATATATATATATACATATATATATATGTATGTGTGTGTGTGTTTGTGTTTGCGTTTGTGTGTGTGTGTATGTCTCTGTGTGTGCTTGCGTGTGTGTCTGTGTGTGTCTGTGTGTCCCTGTAGGGATTTAGGCGTGGTAAAGCGAAGAAAATAAAGAATATTCAAACACGGCTCTACAAATATAAATAATTTTTATTATTGAGTATTTGCTTTCTTTCAAATTGAAAGAAGCGAATTACAAAGATTTATTTTTGCTTGTCTTTCTTCGTAATACAACCGAATCAATTGCGTTTCTCTGATAGAAAAAAAAACTGATTGTGCCTACTTAAGTAGAATGTCACGTGCATAAGTTGTTTTATGAATGCGTGTAATTTTCTGGTAGCATTATGCCAGCAGGTATATTAAGATGTGTTAATACTACTGTTAAAATTTGTGGTGACAACAATCCTATTCGTATATTATAAATGTGCTTAATTTAACATCGCTAATCATTTCTAATAAAGTATAGTTGAATAAATAAGCGAAAGTATTTGAGAATTCAACATGTCTACAAAAGCGAACAACTGACCCCGGTCAAAGGTTTACGGAAGAAACTGAAAACTGAATAATCCTTTAACATCACGAGTATTTATAAAAAACTAGCAGTAGAGCCCGTCGTTGCCCGGGGATGTAACAGTAAGAGATAGATCAAGTATCAAACATCATAAAGACTGAAAAATAAAATTGATAAAGATTATTGTTTAAGGTTGATGGACACGCATGTCTTAATTAGTTTTTTTTTTTTTTTTTTTTTTTTTTTTACGAATTGGTCAAACCCAAACTCAAACAAAAACATTGTTTTCAGTCGTTATGAGACTACCGATTGAATAGAATTTTATTATAAACAATTGTCTTGTAAATGGAATTTTTAAAGCATTCTGAATGTAAAAATAAAGAAAAAAGTGTGCAAGACAATAAGAAACACTACCTGCCAAAAAAAAAGTGATATTTTGTTGAAATCGGTTGAAAAATGTAGGAAATCCGATCCCATATATAAACGAACACACACACACACACACACAAACAAACAACTGGGTATTATAATAACTATAACTCGATAAGAGTTGTCCCCTTTCATTCTCACGATGCCTCTAATCGTGTTTTCAATTGATTTTGTGCAAAAACAATTGTGTTTTTCCAATTTTTGGCGCTGTCAGAACCACCGCAAGGTAATTTTACGTAGTCCTGTGAAGTTTTGTTGAAATCAGTTGAAAAATGTAGGAAATCCGATCCAATATATAAACGTACAGACACACACACAGACACACACACACACACACACAATCTGCGTTTTATAATAAGTAAGATAATTTGGCTCCAGAAAAGTTAGATTTTACTAAACTCAGAGTTTATTGGTTAATAATTTTTCCCCGGTTTTATATATCTGTTATGTTGATCATTTTCCAAAGTGATCCTACAAATTTCGAAGCAGACGATAAACATTGTTGTCTGAGAATTCCAAAGCTCTCAGATAACGTAGCTGGTTGGTCAATATCAAAAGTTATGGCAACGTCGCTGATTGGTTAATATATGCGTGTGTGAAATTTCAAATCGAAGCCAATTTTGTGTGCAAAAATGAGCAAATCTTGAGTTTTAGTAACATAACTTCATCTATTGATTTAAAAAAAATTTTTAACGGCTTCACACACAGACACACAGACACACACACATATATATACACACACATATATATATATATATATATATATATATATATATATATATATATATATATATTATGCTTTTCAGTTATATCTTATGTTTCAGGTGTTATATATATATATATATATATATATATATATATATATATATAGTTTATGAAAATTTAGCTAATCCGTATGGGTAGACCTGAGGAGGATGATATCCAGAGAGCTCAATGTAAAATTCAGAGCAGATATGTTTGAATAAAAGACAGACCACGTTAAGATTCCATGTAATAAGCTAATTCACCATAACCCCTTTACAGCGTTCTGGATCATCAGACTTTACTTCCAAAAGCTGAAATGAAAAATGAAAAGAAATTCACACGTTTTTTACGGACCTCATCAAGTATACGTAAAGTTAACGAAGTGAGGAAGTGAGGTGGGAGAGAGGATATGAGTGTGTCATATGTATCATTTTAGTTTCCTATTTTAACCCCAGTGTGTCGGCTAGATGTTGCTCAAATTTAACGCGTCTCGTCTCTAGATAAAGGTGGCTAAGGGGTGAATGATAAGAACGACATTAAAGGAAGAAGTTACAACAACCCCAATCAATTACACGACAGGTTTCATTCAAATTCTTATACGCTGTTAATTCGCGTTACTTTAACGTGCATATTTGGGAGGTTAAGGTTTGATAAATATCTAAATGTTAAAACAATCTACGAAGAAATTAATTTGAAATTCGGTGGAGTTTTGGGTATTTTCTATGAAACAGTCGATTGGAAAAATCCATAGACAGAACATTGAAAGAGCAATCCATTTTATATTTAGTAATTTTTTTTCCTTTAAAACTTTTATCTTATAGCTTGTTTGGTTGACATCTATTCGTTTGATTTTTGTTCATTAAGTAAACTCGTGATTGTTTTTGATTTTTAACACGGAGGATTTGTGGGTGAAGCTCCAAGAAGAATGGTCTAAAATTAGTATCGAGGATTGTCAGGAACTGATTCGTTCTTGTAGTCGAAGATGTGCAGCTGTCATTGAGAGCAAGGGCTCATTTACTAAATATTGATTGTACATGTATTTTTATTGTTTTTTTGCCGTTTACATTGTTTTTCTCAATTTTGTCCCTTACTTTTGGACGTTCCAAATTTGAAAATAAATAAATAATTGTTATAATTCTTTTTCTATCCTTTGGAAATGATTCAAATTTTAGTATGTTATTATGGATGATAACGACTACCAGTTGTCAGAATTTCAGCTTTTCACAGTTGTTATTTCTAACAAATATTAGGTTTTAAAATTTTGTCCCTTAGTTTTGGACGCTACTGTATATATATATATATCTGAATATACGTTAGAGGGTATAAGTATTGAGATTCCAGCATATATGAGGTATTATTTTAAATTAAGTGTCAAAGACTCCGAACCTGCTCACAGAACTTGGTATGTGGAAGGAAATGAAAAAAAAATATTAGACCGTTGTGCCAAAAAATTCTTTTAAGTGCCCTGAATTATTTGGAAATAAAGACCAAAATGAGTGACTATCCGATTACGATGCTTTAAAACAAGCCGATTTCGATGCTTTAAAAAGGTAAGGAATAAACGAACAGGAAACATTTCAGAAGCGCTTGGATCTTTGAAATACAAACTATACAGGGAATTACATAGTCTTCAAATGATACAGGATGTTAGGAAATGAAAAAAGACTTTTTGATGCATCGTCATTCTCATCAGAACGTGCCAACTGCACAGATTCATATAAGTCTTTGCTCCCCGTCTTCGCTAATTTGCAGAAAAGTAGGGGCGTCCAATGTTAGTGTGTCCAGGTTTTGGTGTCCACAAGGCCACTGATAAACTCATTCTTAATTCAAGAGAAATGAATCTCAAATCTTGTTCTGTTTTCTCGAATGATTCGTATGATGGATTGGAGGTCGATTGACGTAGAGTTGATTTTTCTTTAGTTTTATTTTTTTTCATTTTATTTTTTTATGGCGCTGTACCCAGAATATATTAACTGCATCGCGTACATCGTTGTATACGTGACATCGAGCTTCTTTTCCAGTCGTTTTTTTTTTTCTATTTCCACGTAATACTATGATAGAACAAAACGGAAATGCCTGTGAATTGGGTAAAGTCTCACTTCCGAGATGAGTTGCAATTTCATTTGTATTGGTTACTTTCACTTAAAATCGCAAGTACCCTTGGGAAATGTATGAATACACATCTTCTCCTTCCGGTTAAAGGTTAATTAGTAAGTCTTTTATCATCAAATTATTATTTCCCAAAACAATTCTTACAGCCTAAAAATATGTTCTGTCTTTAAATAACCTGCAAAGGATCGATAAGCCGTGATAAAAAATAAATGAATCAACCAATCCTTTTATCCGGTAAGGCAGATTTCCAGATTTTTAACAGTTGGTCCCTTGCAGCACATGCTTTGTAAATGGTATTGCTCACATTCCCATTTAGTATTAGGTTGGTGCAAAAATAATGACGTAATAATGTCGTTTTTAACGTTAAAAAATACGTGAAAAAAACGACATTGTTACGTCATTATTTTTGCACCAACCTAATAGAAGCAATGAACAGATGGACAAATTGAAAACACCGTATAAGTTGCCAAATTTCTTATCTTTTTATTTTATTTTATTTTTTCGTGTGCGCGTTATATGCCAGTAATAAGATAAATAGATTTTTAACTTCTTAATTCTATTCATAGTTACGTGAAGGAAGAATTCTTTAACTGGAACACGAATTTTTTTAAAGTTGAATTGGCTGGATATTTTCTTTGTTCGTACTTCTCGC